GCTCCCCTGGGAAGGCCTTTGTCTCCTCCCATGGTGTTTCCCACCATGGAGGTCGTGCTTGCCTACCCTGCTCTCCTCTTCCTGACCCATTGTGCTGCCTATTGTCTTATGTGTGCTAGCATGTGTCTGCCAGGGATTGATTCTGAGGACAAGAGAAGGGAGGGGGGAGGAAAGGAGTGAGCTCTCAGTTTTTTCCTCTGGGCTTTTTTCTCTTGTTTGTTTTGGGGTGTCATTAAGTATTCAGTCTGACTTGTAATTCCATCCGTAGTCAGATGACATGCTTGTGGCTGGCTTAATTGGAAGCTGATGATGACTTGCTCTGAGCTGGTTTCCAGAGGATTGTTAAGTTGGGATTGTCCCAGCCAGTCTGGATGACTATTCCATGGCAGAGTCCCACCTTGCCTGGGTTGGCCTTGAACCCTAGCAGCAGGCATTGGGTTGCACAGTCCAGAGACAGTGAGAAACTCTGCAGGAGGGCTGCTAGGATCAGCCGTGATGGTCGTGATGGGGTCACAGAGGTAGCCATCTGTCCTGCATTTCCAAGCTTAGCAGAGTGAAGTTCTAGTTAGAGCTATCTCTTTGGCCTGAGACTGGAGGCAAGAGTGAAGGTGAGCAGGTGTGTCTGTGAACAGGAAGCCCACACCAGAAAGCCCCCTTGGATTCCTTATCTCTCCCACTGTGGGTTGACCTCCTTCAGTGTCTTGCCAGACTCGCATCCACCATAAAGACCACTGTCTGACACCCTGACTGCCACTCCACAGTGGGAATGCCAGAAATCCTCCATGTTGTCTTTCCCCAGGAAGCCAGTCAGCTGTAAAGCTCCCCAGGGGAGTACAGGTGTGCTCAGCTACTGGGGCCATGGAGAGCTTTGCTCTTTGTACAGGAAAGTACCCCCCAAAAGAGACAATGCCACAGGTACCATCACTACTTGAGTTCTTACTTATGTGGCTCCAACCCATGGGCAGGTTTGTGAGCATGGGGTCTGCTGGGAAGGCTCAGCTCTCTAGATGCAGAAACAGGCTCTTTTCTAGGAATAAGTAGATATCACTATAGCAGGAGGCTGGTAGGTAGTCGTGGTCAGCAAGTGACTTTCTGCTGGTTGCTAGGGGTCACACACCAGGCAATAAGACAGTATCTCCACGGGCATCCTTGGGTCTACAATATTTAGTGTGACTTCTGCCTCCCTTTGAATTTATTACAACCCAGGTGTATTCCTAAGGTTGTAAAGACTGTTGTTTTCTCAGACCAAGAGGATACGGAGGACGGGGAGCACTGCCCTGAAAGCTGCCTGGAGCCATGTGCAGCACGATGGTCTCATTTCTGTTTTCAGACTCCTTATTCATCTTTAGATTTACATGGTTGTGGCTGCTGGGGATATTCTAGGACATTCTCTCTCTCTCTCTCTCTCTCTCTCTCTCTCTCTCTCTCTCTCTCTCTCTCTCTCTCTCTTTCTCGGATTTTCTGGCCCACATAGGAGAGGATGGATGAAGGTGAATAACCAGAGAGCATCAGTGAGGAGGAGGGGGTTTGCGTTCTGGGATCAACTTTGCTTCTTAGCTTGAGTGTCCTAACACATCCCTTGTCTTGATGGCCCTCACTTTTCTCATCTATAAAATCGGTAGGCTGACCTCAATTATTACCAGGCTTTGTAGTAGGACTTTCTTGTTGGACTTTCCAAATAATGACATGGAGACTTTTTATTAATCACAAAAGCTTGGCATTAGCTTAGACTTTACCCCAACTAGCTCTTATAACATAACCCATTCATATTAATCTACATTTTGCATGTAGCTCATTGCCTTTCCTCCATAATGTGTGTCTCCTCCCTCTGCATCTTGCTGTGAAAGCCTATATTCATCCTGAGTTCCTCTCTCTCCCTGGAAATCCTGCCTAATCTCTCCTACCTAGCTATTGGTCATTCAGCTCCTTATTAAGCCAATCAGAAGGCGCCTTGGCAAAGACACAAGTTCACAGTGTACAAAAAGATTATCCCACAAGGCTTCCTTTCCAGAGCTGTCATCTTGACTTATTCTGCCCTCCTCTTTTTGTTGTCTTCTCATTTGGTTGGGGGACATCCCACCAGCCTGAACAATACTCGCTATTTTTAAACATAGCTCATCATTGTTCTCTCCAAAGTCCTTCCATTTGTATCACAACCTTCATTTATTTGTTGCATTGGGGACCATCATCTCATTTAGTCCTTAGTTTTATATGGTCTTGCCACCCCCACCCCACACACACTACAGTATTTTCCTGAAGTTGTTGCTGTGGTTGTTCCCACATAGAAATCTCTTTTCTCAAAGTCTTTCTACATTTCGTATACAACTACCCATATGTAGTTCCCACAGAGAGGTGGCTCTGCTGAGACCAGAGTCTGGGGAGCAGGTCCTTAAGCAGTCCCATCTTTACGGGCTACAGCGTTCCTCCTAAGTGCCAGCTTCTCTTCGGCGGTAACATTGGCATCTTGTTTCCACATTTATAAAAGAAGGGCCTTTGGTTGGGTGCCCGTGTGACAGTACAGGCTACCCGGAACTGTGGACTTCCCTGAACAGATGGGGGTGGCCTTTGTCCAGCCAGGTCTGGTGTTCTGTCCCCGGGTGAAGAGTTACTCCACAGTGAGCTGCACCTGCCCTCCTTTTCAGCTAGTTACCTCCTGTGAATGCAGGGCTAACACGGGGACGCAGCATCTCTGAGAGGTGCTTTAGGATTGAGTTATAAACAGTGCTCAAGCTTCTCAGATTCATGTGTTGTAGAGCTACATTCGTAGCCATTCCCTAAGAGCTGGGAGAGGGCTCTACCAGTGAGGGAGAAGGGGCTCTTCAGAAAGTAAATACTAAAATTGGGCCTCTGAGTGACACCCGTCCTCTAGGAATGTGCTTTCCAGGAGGAGGCAGTGATGGGTGACTGGAGATGTTGGCAGTGTGGGATAGATGAGGCCATGGGTGCCCACCAGGACCTGCCCAGAGCTGCTGCCAAGGGCTTCCTGTGCACTGACATGCTCATGGCTTCTGTATCAGCAGGGTTTCCATTACAGAGAAGTTACCATTACTTCTGTGTTTGCTTCCTTTGACATCTGCATTTGGCCAGGTGATTACCCTAGGATTCTTTCTGTTTCTTGCTGTCTTTAGCCTTCTGTGTGCTCCTGGGGTGGTGAGCAGTGGAGCAAGAATCCTCATGTGAGCCACTCTGGTCAGAAAGGAATCATGTTGGAAGGAGCTTGGGGTTCTGGCTTCAGTGTCAACTCAAAGTTCATTTCCACTTCACCCACACTCCTTGAGTGAGCTTGGGCTTCTGTTTTTCACCTTTTATTTGTTGGGGGGAGGTCTCATGTAGCCTAGGCTGGCTTCAGACTTGCTATGTAGCTGAGGCTAGCTGTGAACTCATGATCTTCTTGCCTCCACCTTTCAAGTGTTGGGATTACAGGTGTATGCCACTATGCCTGACTCATCTATTTTATTTTACTTTTTAAATATATTTTATGTATATGAATGTTTTTGCCTGTGTGTATATCTGTGCACCGTGTACATGTGTGCAGTGCCTGTAGAGGACAGATGTAGATTCCCTGGAACTAGAGTTACAGATGGTTCTGAGCTGCTGTGTGGGTGCTGAGAATTGAACCTGGGTCCTCTTAACCACTAAGTCCTTGTTTTTAACATTTCTAAGGCAATAGTTCTTCTAAAACTGGGAATTCTACCCATTAGTGGGTAGATCGGCCTTGAGGTTGACCAAAGTCTTCCTTGAGGAAATAGAGCAGCAGGACCCCCTTGGCCTGTGTGGACCCCAGTGACCAGTGTCTACTCTCCACCCCTTGGCTTAGGGCTGCGTCCCAAGGCCTGCAGAGTCACTGCTGAGGTTCTAGACACATAGACTCCCTGGTTGTTAGCAGTCAGCTCCGACTTCTAGGCTTTGGTTTTGTCATTGTTTATGGACGAGGGAGGGAGGCAGCATCTTCACCCTTGTGGGGGTTGCGGTGTGATGCTGGCAGCCGTGGGGTCCTCATTTGCCCTGGGCAGACCTTCCTCCCAACCCACCTCCCCTGCAGAGGCAAACCGGCCTTCTGCACTCAAGCTCTGCTCTGCCCTGAGCAGCTGGAGTCTCATTTGTTGTAACTTTGGCTCTTCTCTGTTGTAGAAAAATCACACAGAATGTCAATGAAGGCAAACAGAACAAGGAATAAATGAATCAGTTTTTCTTGTATCCTACATTGTGATTTCTCCATAAACCAACTTAGAGAATGGCTATTGCTTCCTGAATCTCTGAGTGTTTGTCAAATGCCAAATGCTGCACCTGTGACAGAGGCCCGAATGGCCAGGTGCTGGTCTCTGTCCTCCAGAGAGCCGTGGTGCCCTACAGCTGAGCAGACAAGAAACGGTGGCTGAAGGTGGCAGGGGTGGCGGGGGCAGGGCGGGAGGGTACCCCAGTGTTCACCTACCCATTCCTGTCCACACCCAAGACCCAGCCCAAGTCTCCCGCTTTCAAGAAGTTTTCCCGAGGTTTACAGGACATATGTATCCAGGCTTGAGATGATAGTACCTTTATCCCACTTGTCTGGAGGCCTTTGACACTTGTGCCCCAGAATGAAATCCCCTGGACGCCTTGGCTTTACACAGGGCATCCATGTCGCATCATCCAGGACATACACTTTGGTAGTGAAATATACCTGGTCAGCAGTCTAGATGGGCATATGGACCCTTGGATTTGAACAGAGTGGATTCCACAGTTAGAGAGGGCTTCTGCTTGCTGAAAGTGACTGCATCATTCAACAACTACAGCATCAATCCAGTAGCCTTCTATGTTCTTTACTTCCTGTTAGGTTCCAAGTCTCCCAGGATATGGGCCTGTATCTGTCATTTTTAGTTTTTGAGGGTCATTATGCATCCCAGACCATTCCAGATCCCAATCTCCCTCCCCCAGCCTTCCAAGTAGCTGGATTACAGAGGCAGATTACCTAGTGGATTACCTAGTCTTACTGCTGCCCTTCTTTGAAATTACTCCACCAGAGATCCTGCGGATTATTCAGCTGGACCTTGACCTGAAGTATAAGACCAACATCCGAGAGCTGTTTGAAGAGTTTGACAACTTCCTGCCAGGTGCTGTTATCGGCATAGCCAGAGAGATGCAGCCTGTGTACAGGTAGGTGCTGGCTGTGGAGGTGAAGACCCCTCCCGTCCTGCCCTTTCTTCTGCCTGGGTACAGCAGCATGAGGTCCTTCTGTACTTGGAAGCATGTTTGCACCTTTGGCTGACAGGTGATGGCACTGGCAGGGAGAGGGACTGCGCCAGAGCTGGAGAGGCTCCTCCAGAAAGCCCAGTTGTTCTGGTTGTTGGCTCTGGTTAAGCTCACAGGGTTAAAATTGTCCGACAGCAGTGTCAGGATTTCCCCTCCAGCCTGGTGTGCTGGGTTTTCATTGACCTCATGTCACCCTGGCGCTCTCATACCTAAGGAGAGTGGGTGGGGACAGTGGTACAGAGGGAGCAGCAGCAGCTTGGGGCACTTTCTTCCCAGGGCAGCACTTTCTCGTCAGGTGTCGGAGAAGCTCGTGTACCTGAAGGCAGGAGAAGTGCCCAAGAATGTTCTCTGCATGCTCGGATGTTCTTGACAGCAGAATGGTTAAACAAAATATATCTACCCAATTGAGTAGCTGTGTATGATGATAGGCAAAACAGAACAGCAAGCTTTACTGAGCAAACACAAGTGCTAATAAAAATCACAGGGAAAACCAAGGAGATGCTCTCCAAAGCCAGCACAGGTCTTGGGGACAAAGGGGATGGTGCATTGGTCCCTTATCCCCACCCCCCCAGTGGTTATGCCCATGTTGCACATACATTATGTTTACAGAGGAAGAGAGGTAGGCTTGGGTTCAAAGCAAGTCTCACAGCTGAGGTTCTGTGTTGACTCACCCTCACCCCCCTCTGACTGATAGCCTCCCCCAAAGCCAGCTCTGACCAAGTTTGCTCCAGAAAATCTAGAATTCTTCTTCCCTGGGCTCCTGGGGCCCTTTGTTCTATGTGCCTTGTGCTGGCTCAATTACCGGAGGAGCTAGAAATCATCAGAGACTGCTGGCCCTGGCACCTAGTGACTCAGAGTGTGAGTTTTCCTCCACTGAAGGAGGGAGAGACAGGCTGGGTTTAGTGGTGGCTCTTGGGAGTCTCAGATCACATAACAGGAAATTCCTGAGGCCTCAAGTGAGCTGAGAACTCCTGGGGCTTTGTGTGCTGTCCCCCTTATGTAATGCTGACTCAGGCTCCCCAGGGACAAACCTGCCATGTTGACCACAGAAAGCTGCCCTTAAGGTAAGCAAGGAAACATTAAATGTAAAGTCCTGGGTTCTAGTCCTGAGGCCTTGGCGCCCCTTTAGAAAGGGGAGCAGAGTCTCCACTCCCCCCCAGCTTTGGTGCTCACGGCTCCTCCCCCCTGTTTGGCCTGCTATTGTATGCAGTGAACCCCCTACTGCTCAGACTCAGGCCCTGGTGTTCTGGTGGAAGCTTCACCCCAAGCCCCCCTCCCCATCTCTCTCCAAACCTCTTCCCCAGACATGCTCAAGACCACCCCCACAGGGTATTTAAACTGTCCCCCAGAAAGCAGAGGTGTGGTTTTCCCTGCTCTCTGTTAACCTCTCCTCTCTGGGGGGCTGGAAAATCATCTGGGAGTGTTGTATCCATTAAACATGATTTTTTTTTCTAATTTGATTTGATTTGGTCTGATTTGAATTGCTGCATCGATGGAGAGGCTTATCGGAGTGCAGAAACTTTACTTAGGACATTTAGACTGGCAGGTTGTCAAACGGTTGCATCAGCAACACCTGCAAGATAAGGTTGGAGTTTCTCTTTATAGTACATTAAAACCCCATCACATTTGTTACAATAATCTTGGGCAGATTTTTGTTTTCTGCACATCTAGGCTTTTATAATGGTAGAACTTAAATCACTTTAATTATCTGGCTTTCCCAAAGAAACACCTGAAAGGTTATAGATTCAAATTAAGTTTCCCTTACTTTCTGCATCTTAATCTTTATGTTCAGTGAGTTCAATGAGAACCTGCTGCTGGCAAGAGTCTTAACAACAGACTGACTGACCCGCAGCCGTGAAGGTCACTAAATCAAGGCAGCAAATGAGTGTCCTCACACGACAATGTCCAGGGATCACCTGTTACAGTGTGTACCTTCAGGATGCTGCGCCTGAGAGTGGTTTGGCTGGTGGCAGACTAGGAATACTGCATATGTGTATGTGTGTATGGACACTGCCTTCTTCCATATGGAAACTGGAGCAGTCCGGGACCTGAACGATCAGTTAGTTGTTCCCCGCTTAGGATTCACCCAGCTGGGGGCCAGAGACAGAGACTAGAGGATGTAATGGGATGAAAAGGTGGAAAGGAGACCACAGTCTAGTTAGTGGCAGCCACACAAGTACAGGTGAAGCCGGGCCCTTCTTCTGAGTGGACACTGGACCCCTGATCCTTAGACATGGGCAACAGTTTACCGGGGACCCACAGCCCAGGGATCAGCCCTGTCTACTGCCTGTAGGGGCCCTCCCATAGCAACTGGTGCTCAGAGGCCTCCCCGTGTGGCCTGATGTGACATGGACAAATTGTTTGCTATAAGTAGAATCTGATAGCATGCACAAGAAGAAAGAAACAGGTAACAAACACTGTAGCACTGTGTCCAACGTGACCGCTTCTGGAAATTCACTGAGCAGGAATGGGCTCCAGTCCCCCAGCTGTGTGAGTTTTATAATCACTTGTCTCACAGTTGCTGTACTTCAAAGGGCACACAGCAAGTCGTTTTTTATGGTGGCTTCCCTCTATTGTGAGTGGTAAAATGTCTCAGGCTTGCAGGAGGGTGGGGGGAAGTGTTTCCCACCATGCGTTTGACAAACGGCCTTTTCACATTTTTCCCCACAAACATCAAACCGACTGCTTTCTGGACAGAGCTGCAGGGTCAGGCAGTGTTGGAGTATGAAGATGCTTTCCTCCCTAGGTCCCTGGTACAGTTTGGTAGAGTCAAACTTTCTTTGTCTGAAAATCAAGGGCCTGGCAGACTTGGGTAGAATGCCGCCCTCCTCTCCTTGGACCTTCTTGTGCATCTTTGTCTGGAACTGGACCCCTGATGAGCTCTGTGTGCTCTGTGTGCCTGGGGTGAGGTCAAAGGGAGAGAGCCCCCTGAGGCCTGCTCTGCTAACCCCCACCTCAAGCTTACAAGCATGGCATGTGGGATGACTGCCTGTGAGTCCTGTGAGTCCTGTGAGTGCATTAGAAGTGCAGGCAGCATGTGGGCCTTCTTTCTGTCCCTGTAGAATTTACTTTGAAGTCATAGGAACAGCTGAAGCAGCTGATGTAGAGGTGGTGGCACCAAGTTGGACTCAGAAGCCAATTAGCTGTGGGATGTGCTGCAAGTCACAGGTCCTCTGTGTTTTTCCTGTGTGCAGGAGAGCTGTCTGACCATCTGTCCTCTACCCATCTATCATCTGTCTACTTATCTACCTATCATCTGTCTGCCTATCACCCATCTATCATCTGCCTGTCATTTCTGTTTCATGACCTCCTGTTCTACCTGACCCCTGACTATAACAGGTACCACCACAGGACACCAGGGATGTGGAACTTGAGGTTGACAACAGATACCATTTTGTGTGATAAGTGTGTTCTAGATAGTGTATGCATACACCTAAAGTTATTTGTTGTTTATCTGAAAGTTGCATTCAACAAAGTACCCTATTTGTTTTTCCTAAATCACGAAACCCAACTCCAGCTCTCTGACCCCAGTTGGACAATTTTCTTTCCCAGCAGAAGTGAGTGATCTGGCTTTCCTTCGAGTGCCTGGGCAGGGGCAGAGGGCATGGAAGTGGAGCATGAGGATAACCAGGGCAGGAGTGAGTGTGGCCTCCCCTCAGAGTGCCTCGTCTAAGGGACCACCACCCTTCAGGAGCTAGGAGCCAAGCTGGCCCAGGTCGTTGAAAAGGCCATAGTACCAGGCAGCCTAGCACGGTTTCTGGCCCCTGCTTGACCCTACTGGTTGACAGGAAGCAGGAGCCTGAGTGGCAGCAGCAGGCTAAGGTCACTTTGTCCTGGGGCTGGCTGCCTGAGGAGCCTCTGAATGGCAGATTTGTTGGAAGGGGCTACAACTTCCGGGGGATTCACCAGCTCTACAGCCCACTGTGACCTGGCACAGGCCCAGGCACACCATGAGGCCACGGCCAGAGCAGCCAGGGCCCTGTCAGGGTATGCACCAGAGCCAGGAACTTGCTTTTGTGTCTGTCCTTTACTATCTACTTCTTCAGTCTCTTGGCAGCCCTGTGCCAGCCCTGCCTCCTTCTGGTGCTCGGATGAGCATGTCCATCTACCTTGTCTGTTCCTGCTTTATTCCTTTCCTGAAACTGGTACAGGCTCTCAGGGGCATGCTGGGTAGGAAGGGAGGGAGGGCATGGACAGATCCCCACTGCTGCTGCTCTCCAGTCATGTGATCTTGGCTCTGAGGTTAGTTTCTGTAGTTGACAAAAGGAGACGCTAACTCTGTTCTCATCAGAGCTGATGGGGATTAAGTTAGATGGTTACATATGGTTCCTGGCAGGAGCAGTGCTACCCTGAGTCCTAGCTCAGCCACGGATGAATGCTGTGGTGCAAGGAGAGTCACTCAGCCCCCAAGCCGGTGTTTCCTTGTATGTTAGTAGTGCCCCGCCTGTGTTTGAGGAAGTTCTTACCTGCCATACAAGCCTGCTCGCCTCTCATGGGGAGACTGAGAAACTATAAATTCCAGTTTCCTTGTTACTGAGATCCAGTAGACCCGGGTTCTCCCCTCCCCTCCCCCCAAAGAAATCACTCTCACATTAGTTCAGCATCTGTACTCACGCCGATGGTTCTCTTACTGCACTTTAAACAAGGACAGAAGCTGACCATATTACAGGAGACAAGGATCCATTACAGAGACAGGAAAGGTTTAATATCCCAAAAGAGTATTGGAAACCCAGAGGGTAGCAGAGAAGGAGGTGTCCTGTGTAGTCTCTGTGAAGGGACCACTCCAGCAGGTGGCAGCCCCTGCCTCCACACACCAGCCTGCCATTTGCTGCCTGTTTGACCCTGTTTCCCTCGAGTGGATTAGCTGGCTGTTCTGCTAGCTTCCAGAGCTCAGACCACGGCTC